GAAACGTTCAGGATTCACTGCGTTTCCCACATCACATATATGTAAATAGGCTCCATGAACAACAAGAGTTCGTAGCCTCCCTGGAGGTATTCCTGAATGTAGCTCGGGGTAAAGTTTCAGTACCAAAAGCGGTAACCCCGAGCTACATTCGGGCTTACCATGCTGCGCTGCTCCGGGATCTGTTCTCTCTTACCTTGTCCTGCGCTCCCGCGATGTCCCTCCTGCTGTATCCCCGGGAATGTTCTCCGCCATCTGTCTTCTGGGTTTCGCCCCTGCGATGTCGGGACGTACAGGGGACGGGACTGGCGGGAAATTTGAAAATGAAAAAAAAGTGACATTCACTAAATATACTAAAATCACATAGTATAACATTACTGTGTCAAAGCATTTCACATACATTTTGTCCCTAGTGCTTTGTCCTTTGCCCTGCCTTCATTTTTACTGTTCTTTCTGCCTGGAAACTGAGAAACGTCCATGGCGTCCAAAAAGCGTCCCTTTTAGGTCAAAATTGGTTTTAGACCAGCTAGAGAACAGCGATAGTAAATTAGAACTACTTGCAGAATTGAGTGATAATGATTCATGGGGGAAATTCGTCATCAGACACTGAAAACGATTTTGCGACTTTGCTCAGTGATGTGCGAACTTAGCACTATATTTTAAATTTCAGTGTTGTTGGTTTGATTATATTATTGAATTACATTTATTATTAGATTTTTTTATGATTAAATTATAATTTATTATTTCGTGTTTCAAATTTTATCATACCCGGGATGTTTTAGTAGACTCTTGTTCGGACAGATTTCAGTGGGTTATTCCTAAAAATTACAGGCCTACAATAAAAAAAACTACATATTTACATGCAAAAAAATGTACCGCTTTGAGCACAGAAATATGGACATAATCAGACCGCTAGGGAGGTTAATGGTGCCTTGCAGTTTCTGAACTACAAGCCCTCAGCCACAATGGCTGATGACACTTGTAGCATAATTAATTCACAGGAAACTAGCAATGAATGATGTGGCCCCATGGCCACGCTGTTTTTAAACTGTGACAGCGGGTGCAGGAAGAAGATTGCCCGCTGTCACAGAGAGGAACACTGGCAGCTTTCCAGTTGCATCAGAAAGCCTCACAAAATCTCATCAGCTCAGCCGATTTATTACAGCCCAGAGAGGAAGAAAACAAAACAAAAACCCCATTGTGTAGTATCTTCAAAACAAGGAGTTTATATGTGCAATAAAGGTAATCACAGAATAAAAAAAGAAACAACAAACAACGTCAGAAGCATCTTACCTGGGCTTAAGAAAAACAGACCTGGTCTATTGCTCAGTGGTACAAAGTCCTCTTTTCTGATGAGAGCAACTTTTGCATCTCATTTGGAAACCAAGGACCCAGCATAACATCACAAATCGGCTCCCTCCAATGCGTTTCATTGCCAGGGAAAGTCTTCAGGGGGCAGCACAGAAGTCAGCCTTCCTGATATAATGGGAGCCATCTAGTGGTGGAAGGTGTGATTTGCGCACTCCAAACTGCTGCTGAGATTGTAGGTCTTATACAGGTGAAACTCGAAAAATTAGAATATCGTGCAAAAGTTCATTTATTTCAGTAATGCAACTTAATAGGTGAAACTTATATATGATGATAGACTCATTACATGCAAATCAAGATAGTTCAAGCTGTGATTTGTCATAATTGTGATGATTATGGCTTACAGCTCATGAAAACCCCAAATCCACAATCTCAGAAAATTTACAATATTATGAAAAGGTGCAATATTCTAGGCTCAAAGTGCCCCACTCTAATCGGCTAATTAAGCCATAACACCTGCAAAGGGTTCCTGAGCCTTTAAATGGTCTCTGTCTGGTTCAGTAGGAATCACAATCATGGGAAAGACTGCTGACCTGACAGTTGTGCAGAAAACCATCATTGACACCATCCATAAGGAGGGAAAGCCTCAAAAGGTAATTGCAAAAGAAGTTGGATGTTCCCAAAGTGCTGTATCAAAGCACATTAATAGAAAGTTATGTGAAAGGGAAAAGTGTGGAAGAAAAAGGTGCACAAGCAGCAGGGATGACCGCAGCCTGGAGAGGATTGTCAGGAAAAGGCCATTCAAAAGTGTTGGGGACTTTCACAAGGAGTGGACTGAGGCTGGAGTCAGTGCATCAAGAGCCACCACACACAGACAGATCCTGGACATGGGCTTCAAATGTTGTATTCCTCTTGTCAAGCTGCTCCTGATTAACAAACAATGTCAGAAGCGTCTTACCTGGTCTGTTGCTCAGTGGTACAAAGTCCTCTTTTCTGATGAGAGCAACTTTTGCATCTCATTTGGAAACCAAGGACCCAGAGTATGGAGGAAGAAAGAGAGGCACACACTGCAAGATGCTTGAAGTCCAATGTGAACTTTCCACAGTCTGTGTTGATTTGGGAAGCCATGTCATCTGCTGGTGTTGGTCCACTGTGCTTCATTAAATCCAGGGTCAACGCAGCCGTCTACCAGGAGATTTTGGAGCACTTCATGCTCCCCTTCCACAGACGAGCTTTATGGGGATGCTGACTTCATTTTCCAGCAGGACTTGGCACTTCCCACACTGCCAAAAGCACCTAAACCTGGTTCAATGACCGTGGATTTACTGTGCTTGATTGGCCAGCAAACTCGCCTGACCTGAACCCCATAGAGAATCTATGGGGCATTGCCAAGAGAAAGATGAGACATGAGACCGAACAATGCAGAAAAGCTGAAGGCCGTTATTGAAGCATCCTGGTCTTCCATAACACCTCAGCAGTACCACAGGCTGATAGCTTCCATGCCATGCCGCCTTGAGGCAGTAATTGCTGCAAAAGGGGCCCAAACCAAGTACTGAGTACATTATGCATGCTTATACTTTTCAGAGGTCCAATATTGTTCTATGTACAATCCTTGTTTTATTGATTGCATGTAATATTCTAATTTTCTGAGATTGTGGATTTGGGGTTTTCATGAGCTGTAAGCCATAATCATAACAATTATGACAAATCACAGCTTGAACTATCATGCTTTGCATGTAATGAGTCTCATAAGTTTCACCTTTTAAGTTGCATTACTGAAATAAATTCTAATTTTTCGAGTTTCACCTGTACATGCTGTATTGACTTCTATAGCATAGAGGTCCTTTATCTCTGGTAAGAATATTGTGCACTTGGAGGTGGTAGAGTACATTTGGCACTGATTTAACAGCACTATTTTGGAGATACTTTTTGGACTTTGAGAATTAATTTTGACATTTATTTTTGGTGGTTATATATTCATTCTTATTTATGCACTTTATTCATGCTAACTTATTATACATCTGAGCACTTATTTTATTATGAGTTGTGTGGGGGTGTTTTTTTGTAATATATAATTTTGTTCACGTATTCATTCACCTTAGGTATTTTTTGTAATTTCTTATGCTTGATTTGAGAGCAGGTCAAGGGACAGCGTGTCTATTTTGTAAAAATAACCTGACAGAGGTTCTAACTTTTCCCTTTTTAGTGATAGTGTTTTGCTGTAGTCTGTTCCAACTAAAGATATTTCTCATAATTTACCGTCCCAACAGGCAAGAGTTTTACCTGTTTCCCACTGTGTCCAAAACTTAAAGCCCAACTCCAAGCATGTCTGTGTTTTTTTTTTTTTTTTTTTTTTTTTTTTTTTTTAATATAAATTATTACTAACAGTTGACTTGAGATGTTAGTGACGCAGGAGTAAAATGACTCAAACCCTCACTCCGAGAATGAGCAGTAAAGTACTTGTACAAGAGAAAGCAGAGCCTGTACGTGTAGTCACTAATAGGGATGAGCTGAACGTGCCTGGGTTCCATTCTAGGCGGGGTTGGCATACGTTGCTAAAGCTTGAAGTCCATGGGAGATGAATGTTTGTTTGTAAATAATTCCAGGCATAGCTATATTATACATACAGTTAGGTCCATACATATTTGGACACAGGCACAGTTTTCATACTTTTGGCTCTGTATGCCACCAGAATAAATTAAAACGAAACATTCCAAATTTGAAGTGCAGACTTTCAGCTTTAATTCAAGGGGTTGAACATAAATATCAAGTACAAATTTTAGGAACTACAACCATTTTTATACACAGTCCCTCCATTTTCAGGGGCTCAAATGTAATTGGACAAATGAACATAATCATAAATGTTAAATTTTTTTTTTTTCAATATTTTGTTGAAAATCCTTTGCTGGCAATAACTGCCTGATGTCTGGAACCCATGGACGTTACCAAAGACAGGGTTTCCTCCTTTCTGATGCTTTGAAAGGCTCTAACTGCCGCTGTCTTAATTTGTTCTTTTGTCGGTCTTTCAGCCTTTAGTTTTACCTTCAGCAAGTGAAATGTATGCTCAATTGGGTTGAGATCAGGCGATTGACTTGGCCATTGGAAATATTCCACTTCTCTTCCTCCAAAAACTCCTGGGTTGCTTTTGTAGTGTGTTTTAGATCATTGTCCATCTGTACTGTGAAGCACCGTCCAATCAACTTTGCTGCATTTGGCTGAATCTGGGCTAACAGTATATCTCTAAACACTGCAGAATTTATCTGGCGGCTTCTGTCTTCTGTCACATCATCAATACACAACCTCTCATTAGTGCACATCAGTGAAGGAGAAAAATCACTTATTTACAAAATTTTATAACAAAAATTAAAGTTTTTTTTTCAAAACTTTCAGTTTTTCATTGGTTTGTTTAGCAAAAAAAACCCCAGAGGTGATTAAATACCAAAAAAAAAGCTCTGTTTCAAAAACAATGATAAAAATTTAATATGGGTACAGTGTTGCATGACTGCGCAATTGTCATTCAAAGTGCGACAGCGCTGAAAACTGGCCTGGGCAGGAAGGGGGTCAAAGTGCCCTGTAGGTGAGGGGTTAAAGTGGTTGTAAAGCCACTTCTTTTGTTTTAAAGTTCCGCTTTAAGGACTGCTCCCACGCTCCCCATTAAGGATTGACACCTTTGGGGAACGGGGGGGAGCGGGTACCCGAATTTGACAGGTACCCCCTCCCACTTCTGGTCCGATTGCCTAGGCGATCGTAAGCGGAAGGTGTCTCCCCTCCCTCTAGTCTTTTGGGACACGTGACAGGTCCCAGAAGACTGCAGGACCATTCACGAAGCACTACTCGTGCATGCGCAGTGGGTACCCGGGCTGTGAAGCCGCAAGCTATCACAGCCGGGTGCCCACACTGTAGATGCCGGCGCCTGGAATACAGGATGGCCGGTGAAACAAGCTGGGGGGGCACACCATGGGACCGAGGGCAAGTAAGTGGCGTTTTTTTAAAAGTCAGCAGCTGGGAGGGGCCAGGAGCGCCTTTGGGGGAGCTGAGAAGAGGAAGATCGGGGCTGCTCTGTGCAAAACCACTGCACAGAGCAGGAAAGTATAACATGAATGTGTAAAAAAAAAAACTTTACTGTGGAATGTTTGTTCTTTGCTAAATGACATTATTTTTTATCAAGTTGTAATGGGTAAAGTTCTGCTTTAATGTCCAGCGCACCTATGTGTATACTTGCTTTTCCTTCACTCATTTTCCAGTTTTTTCAGCTGTCAGCTGAGTATATAACCCTTTCCCCTTCTCATGATACAAGGATGGTAGCCATAGCATCCTAATGATAGGCTTTTGTGCGCCAACTATAACAATGTGAAAGACATTTTTAAAAAAAATGACTGTAAGGATAGCGATGCAATAGTACTACATACACTTCCTGAAAATACATTACATAATATTATGAGGGGGCTGTGGAGAGTACCAGTGAAGATGTATGCAAGGCCAGACCTACTGTTTTTTTTTGGAAATGCCCTCTACCCTTTGTGAAAATAAACACGACCAGACTTTCTGATTTTTGGTGATGCAAGGTCTTGCAGTACATTTTCAAAAATGAAGGCCACTGACTTAATACTGCCACAACAGGGCCGTTGGAGTTGTTACTGGTTTTGCATTCCTCTCCTATACTTGTGGTCTGTCTTCATGTGTTTTACCCTTTGCAGTCCTGTCCAGCACATACTGCCTGCAGTCATACCTGCGTTTCTATCCTGCATTTACTGCTCATGTTGAACTCACCTGCACACACTGCCTTCCCATGTATCCTCTGCCGTTCTTCTTCTGGACATAATGTCATACCTACCAAACATATTTCTTGTACATGATACCTGTTAAAATATTACTTCAACATTTTTTGTGACTTTTTAATCGCAACTATCTGAACTGGGCTTCCTTTTGTTAAATTACTGCAAATCATATTAAGAGCAGCAATAGCTGTACAGTAATGTTGTTTTAGAGGACCTAGTTCAAGCACTGCATTGCAGATTCTTCTAAAAATACTTGAAATGCATTTCACACACTTATTTTCTTAAGCAAATTATAGTGTTCTGTGTCCAGTTAAGATTTATTCCCAGTGTCACAGTAGGCATACCCAACAAGTAAAAATTCTGTTTGTTCCCCACCAGATTCCATAGCGAGCCCCAGGAAGGACAACAGTCGCATGAAGAGCTACAAAAACAAAGCTCTAAATCCAGAAGAGATGCGGAGAAGGCGTGAGGAAGAGGGAATTCAGCTCCGAAAGCAGAAACGTGAACAACAGGTAAGTATGTCTAGATGTAGTGCAAAACAGCCAGCCTGATTAAAGCTCTTCCTTTTCAAAAGTCTTTTTATGCAAATATCTGTAAAAACAAAAAAATAAATTTGTAGGAAGAGTACAGACTGTAAACCGGGGAGGATATTCCAGCATATCAAATGAGGCGATTGCTAATACATAGACCTTGGTTGCTACAGTTTATCCTATTGTGGATAAAGCTGCTACTACACTCAAAGAATGTCCGGGTAGGCATGCATATATTTTCTATTCACTATCTAGTAATGGTTTCTGCGACACATAGGTATACACTGTCCCGTTTCACAAAAAAAGGTAAAATCAAGAAATTGAGAGAGAATAGAAGAAGAAAGGGAAGAGTAAGTCGACTTCACTTCAAGGGTGTAATTGGTTATATATATATATTGAGTTCATGGGTCTCACGTTTTGCCAATGTGTTTAGAGATGTCATTAATTATCCCAGCACTTTTTCTAAACTAAAAGGAAACTTTTCTTCTTTTAGCTGGGGGGAAAGTGACAGCTAATTCTGTGAACTATAGTGAAGGAAAAAAGAAAAGCTGGAAATTTACATTTAAAAACCGGCACCGATGTATAGCGACAGCCAGTATACACTGCTTCTCTCCTGCCTTTCTCAACCCCCTCACATCTGCAGTACACACAGTCTCCTGTATCGGCACCTGTATTGGCTACATTTTTCGTATCGGCAAAATGCCGATAGGGCTATTTTTAGCTGATATGTTTTGAGGCCAAAATTTCAGTGCATCCCTAATACAGGCCCAAAAAGTCTAGTGACCGCTTTCAGGCCTTCACAGGTCATATTTCCTCATATCACTTCCTCACTACCAATCCGTTTTGGAGGCCATAAAATTCCAGGATAGTACAAACACTCCCCCCAAATGACCCCTTTTTGGAAAGTAGGCAATAAAAGAGGTTTGATAAGATGCATGATGAGTGTTTTGCAGATAAAATTTTGAAAAAGAAAAGAGAATACATTTTTGTTTTTTTTCTTTTTCATTTTCAAAAAACTTGTGGCATTTCAGGGCCAGCATTAGAAGCTTCTGCCACACATCACTGACTTTTCTAACCACTGGAGGAACAACTGTATTCTGACACTTTTCGTTTACATAAAAAAAAATTTTTTGCTAGAAAAAAACCACAATATATTGCCCAATTGTTTGATAAGGTATAAAAGATGATGTTACGCCGAATAAATAGATGCCAAACGTGACATGCCTTAAAATTGCCCTTGCAATGGTAACAAACTACGCAAATTTTAAATATCGATTGGCTTTAAAAGCCTTTACAGATCACCACTTTATATTTACACAGGGGGTCTAGTATTAGAATTACTGCCCTTGATCTGCCGTTCTTGGTGCAATCTCTGTTTATATACTTGACTGACATATACTGACTTTCACTTGCATTCGCCCTTAGGCATGAACACGGGAAGGGATGAATTTTTTTTTTTTTTTTTTTTTTTTATCACGGTTATTATCCCAGGGAATGTAAATATCCCCTGTGATAGCAATAAGCGATGACAAGTATTCTTTTCTGAGATATCTGAGGTCTATTACTCTAGATCTCTCCCCTGCCCTTAAAGCATCTGATCACACCAAGATCTATGTGATCAGATGCTTTCTCGATTTAAAAATGGTGCTAGCAGTAAAGAGAACCTGTCACCAAAAATCATATATATCGTATACATACGTACAAACGTAAAAGCACGCGCTGGGGCGTCTACACATGAAATGTTGATTGTGATAAACATGTTACATATCACTGTGCACACCAGAATGAGAGCAATAATTCTAGCAGGAGACATCCTCTGTAACACTATATTGATGACCTATAAAGTGCTTTAAAAGTGTCGCCTATAGAAAATATAGGGTACTGACGATCGTCGCTATTTCACGAGCACACGCAAATTTAAGGTTTGACATGTTGGATATCCATTTACTTGGAGAAACCTCATCTTGTATATTTTACAAAAAGTAGGGTAATTTATTGCTTTTTTGTACCCTAAAATTGTGTATTTTTAACTGAAATATTAGTAATATCATGTGACATTAAAAGTTGGAACTACAACTATTTTATGCTCTAGGGTCTCTGCTTTCAGAAAATTGTATAATGTTTGGGGATTTTGTGTAAATTTTCAAGCCTGAAATTTATTTAAACTTGTGCAAAAAAATGCAAAAACCGCTCTGGCAGCAAAAGGTATAAAGGATAAGCTCGACCCTCCCCTTTTCAGGATAACACCCAATCAGTGCTCATTACACTTTAAGGACTCTCTCCTCCCTGCTAGTCCCCAGGTGCGGTGCTGGAGACAGGCAGGAAGGAGTGGAGGAGATAAAAAGCGCAATGTTAAAAATATTAAACGTTTAAATCGCCATAAAGCCCCTTTTTGGTTTTCAAAACCCCAGACCTTCCTAAAAGCACCTTTTAGATTTAAATACGGTTTTGGTTAATGTTTTTATCTGGAGAAGTAGATTGTCATGAGGGACAAGTAGATTGGGACCCCAATTTAGTCTCTGGACAAGTAGTTTTTTTTCCACACCCCTAAGTTTTCAGCTCACACATAACAAAGCTGTGGTGTGAATTGACGCCTTGTCTGTGCATTGTGGCTGGGTTGGAAATTGCTGCCATTGCAGCTCCAAGGCATCTGGTATTAACACACTGATAAGAAAATAGTAGTTGACTGGCTGACCCACTAGCTTTAATACATTGAGTCGATGACCTGATAAACGTCAGTAGGTTGGGAGAGTTGGAGAAAAGTCAGTCCTTGTACATGTACTTGTTCTTCGTGAATTCCAAGTATTAAAACTAAAGGGCAAGCAAGGCAACTGAGGAGAGCTCAGCAATTAACAGATCTGCAGCTAATTGTGTTTCTACATATGAATAAATGTTTGCAGAAGTTTCAAAAATAATTACTTTTGGTTTTTGTGGGGTTTTTTTTTTTTCCAGCTCTTTAAGCGCCGCAATGTGGAAATGTTTTCTGAAGACCCATCCATGTTTGATAGTCCATTAATGGATCCCTATGTTAGCTCAACCAATGTTGGGGTAAGTGCAGTAGAGAGGACAGAGAAGTCCCCTACAGCATGATAAACTATAGATACAGTATGTTTTTAATGGTGTGTGCTTTCACAGGATGGTGTTATTACCCGTGAGATGGTTGGGTTGCTGCTTTCTGATGATCCTGATCTGCAGTTGGCCACAACACAAAAATTTCGAAAGCTGCTATCTAAAGGTATGAAATCTTGTGAGTATATATGCCATTGAGCTGGCATCTGCTAAAATTAATGGTATAGTACATTTTAATGTGATTAAACTGTAGCATGCAGTCATGTCCCTGAGTCAGTAACATTGGTGCTATCCTAAATACTTAGTCCTTGGTTGCTTTGCATTTTCAGAGCCAAACCCCCCAATAGATGAAGTGATCAACGCTCCTGGAGTGGTAGAGCGGTTTGTAGATTTCCTTAAAAAAAGTGACAACTACACACTACAGGTGAGTGTATTGCCCTGGTTTCAGAGGTAGCTTGTGGAGAGGATTGACGTCTGGTATATACAGTAAGTGCAACATTGAGTTTCTTGTATTTTATAGTTTGAAGCTGCCTGGGCCCTGACTAACATTGCATCTGGCACTTCACAACAAACCAAGATAGTGATAGAAGCAGGAGCTGTGCCAATCTTTATCCAGCTGCTAAACTCTGAATATGAAGATGTGCAGGAACAGGTTGGAGCACTGTGTTGTATCATCTGTTTGTGCAGTCCTTTACATTTTTATAGCTTCTCATTCAATGTATGCTATTGCTGTCTTCTCTTCTTCTCACCTGTTTTCCTGTGGATTCCTTTAGGCTGTGTGGGCACTAGGGAACATTGCAGGTGACAGTTCTGTGTGCCGAGACTATGTGCTTAGCTGTGACATCCTTCCTCCTCTACTTAAGTGAGTACAACTTAGTGTATAGAGCAAAATAGGTCTACCTATTTAAAAAAAAAAAAAAATACCAAAAAAAGAAAAATCATTTATTGGTTAAAATAAACTAAACCTGGCCTGAAAAGTACCTAAGATAACAGTGCTGATGTTTGCCTACAAGTATTTGTGTTGATCCCTGTGGAACCCCTTGGATTCCAGGCCTAACTTAAACACAGAGCCTTGGCTTCTCTAGAGTAAGCTTTTTTCCCCCTCTGTTACCAAGCCCTACTGATGTTAGTCACATACCCCAGCCTATAATATACACTTGATTGCCTGCCACCAGTACTGTCTTGCCTACCCTCAACACTCAGTTGATGTAATTAGAAATGACTGTGCAACTAGAACACTCTTGTTAACCTGATATAAAAGACCTGTGAGGTTGCAAGATCATGCTTGGAAGCCAGCTATCCTTTTAGTATCCGTGGTCAGCTTAACACAAGTATTTAAAGGCACCACTTCAGGTTGTTACCTTTTAGGTACCTGTGGGCCAAATAGGTAAATATAATTATGAAATATTTATTTTAGGCTACTTATTGATATTTTTTTCACTTTGTGTTTCACTTGTCACTGAAACGGTTGAAATGTCCTCTGCTACCTTATGGTCCACAGTTTATTGTAATGCTGTCTGCAATGGACCTGCTAAAGGGACTAACACGCACAGCCTGGAATTTAGTCCTCTGCTTGAATTCATGCTGTCCGCGGAGTGTTTGTCATTTGTGTGACCTTGCACACTGCAGACCAAACGCAGACAAAGTAAATAAAGCTACACTAGTGGGATTTATTTACTAAAGCTGGAGAGTGCAAAAACAGACTCGCTTCTGCATAGAAACCAATCAGCTTGCAGGTTTCATTGCAAAAGCTTAAAGTATGACTAAAGGCAAAACTTTTTTTTTTTTTTTTTTTTAAGTTTTGGATAGAGTGGAAATGGTATAAAATACTTGTCAGTTTTTACTGCTGTCAGTGCTCCCATTAAGGAGATTCACCCTCTCTGCTTGTCCTGTTTACCATTTATTATTGAAAGTGACCGTAAAAGAAAAAATAAAAATTGGGGTAGTCCCCAGAAAAGTGGACACTAGTTCTGGGGGGATTTCCTCTCACTTCCTGTTTGGCTCTGGGACAGGAAGTGAGGGGAAATCTCTAAAATGGGACACAGATGGTGAAAAAATGGCAGGTTATAACCCTCCCTTACTTTATCTAAACCAAAAAGAATGTTTTGTCTATAGTTCTACACTAATTGAACAAGCTGAGGTTAGAAGTTGATTGGTTTCCATGCAGAAATGAGTCTGATTTTGCACTCTCTCACCTTAGGAAATAAACCCCTAGGTGTGAAATGTGTATCTTTTTTTACGTGTGCTCAGCTAAAATAATAGTAGACTTAGTGTTACTAAACCCGGGGCCCTGCGTTCACTATATTTGGTCTCCCACAGTACACAGAACATGGAAGTGCAATTATTTTAGTAAATATAAACTGCTAAATACCTTTTCTCATCAGAAGTTAGAGCAGTCTAGTGGCTTCTATCTGTTTCCAGCCCAGCACTAGCAAAAGCTTGTAGAAGTTTTTTTCTGCTCTAGGAGGTACAAATTCCCTGACTTCTGCCTTAGACAGTGCTGATTGGCCCTGTGCTGATCACATGCACTCTCCTAAGAAATATAAAAAAATCTATCTAGCAATACACACCAAACTGAGCATGTGCATGCCTACGGTTCAGTCTGGAGATAAGTGGTGGTCCCTTGAAAAAAAAGGGGAGGAACAGAGAAGAAAGGGATCAAACAGTCTTTTTACACAATGGCAGAGGATTAACCCCTTAGCTTCTACAGTGAGTATAACAAGCATGCTTTACTGCATATACAGACTTTTTTTTTTTTTTTTTTTTTTTTTTTTTTTTTTTTTTTTTTTACTGTTGTGGGTTTAGTAACACTTTAATATCCAGATTTTTTATAAGCTTGGCTGTAACTGGTATTCTTTAATTTAAATGAGGATTGTAGAAGAATAAAATAGTTAGATTTGGTTTGGTAATGGTCTTTCACTGTGTCCCCTGCTCTCTCCCTCTCACCAACTGCTTCATGAGTATTCAGGACTCAGAATTTTACCTTGTGCTACCTTGTCCCTGCTTTGTCAGACATGGCTTATAACGTGGTAAAAGGGTGCTGTGATTGGATCACAGAGATCGCTGGGTGCGTGCTGTAGCCATCATTTTGGTTATAGCCTGTCATCGTGGTTAACACAGGATTGGAGGAAGCTGTGTCAGGTTCTTTTTGTTTTGTTTTTTTTCTCTAGATTGACATTATTTTGAAGAGGGAGCTTCACTTAACATTGAAAAGCTTATTGCCTCTACCCTTAAGAACCTTAGCATTGTGCAGCCTGACTTCCCCGCCTAGCCATGCACCTTTTTGGGTACAAAGAAACCCATTAAATCCTGCAAAAAATTACCTGATCACAAACGGAATATGCAGTCCATGACAACTGGGCCATGCCTGATTTTCATTCCTCCAAAGACGGAGTGAAATTGCCTTCTGCTCTGTGTTTGTGTGGATGTCCAGAAACCTATCGTGAGACAAATTTCCATAATAACTCTCATATCCATTCACTTGCACAAAATCTTATTGCTTAAAGCTTTGAAGGAGTTGTTTGGCAAATGCCTCCACAAGACTGGTTCAAAAGGTTTCTACTCAAACCTCTTCACAGTATCAAAGCCCAGTGGGGATATTCACCCTCTTTTTGAGGTGAAATCCCTCAACAGTTTCCATATTCCAAAGTTCTGCATGGAATCTTCAAGGCATGCTTCTATTTACCTACTTCATTAGCACTTTCTGCACTTCACAGTGGAAGAAAATGATTTCCAGGATGTCACATTGCTCTTCTGTCTGTCCTCTGCTCGCACAGTGTTCACAGAGGTCTTAGAACCTTTGCTGTTCCTGCTTGGAACCCAGGGAATTAAAGTCCTAGGCTATCTAAATAACCTTTTCTGAAGGGCTCCTCACCTGGTCAGTTGTCAGAAAATGTCCATGGGACAATTTTGGATACAGGGTTTAGGCTGGGTGATCAATTAAATATAAAAAAACTGCTCTTCAAACTCCTCTTTGCCTGTACATGGTTGGTCTGGCTGAGAGAAGACAAAAGTTCATCTAGTTCAACCATTAAAAAAATAAAAATAAAATAAAAATTTGATAATCCTATACGCACAGTTGATCCAGAGGAAGGCAAAACATTTCCCAGCAAAGCATGATCCAATTTGCTCCTGCAGGGGAAAAATTCCTTCCTGATCCACCGAGCGGAAATCTGATATTCCCTGGATCAACTTTACCTATAAATGTTAGTATCCAGTTATATTATGTGCATCTAGGAAAGAATCCAGGACTTTTTTAAAGCAATCTCCTGAGCTGGCCAGAAGAAACTCTTGAGGGAGTCTATTCCACATTTTCACAGCTCTTACTGTGCAGAAATCATTCCGTATTTGGAGATTAAATCTCTCTTCCTCCAGACATAGTGTTCCCTTGTGATGACCTCAGGGCAGAGTACTCTACATATGAACCACTGATGTATTTATACATATTGATCATATCCCCCCTTAATCTCTTTTTAAGAGAGAATAAATTCACCTCCTCTAATCTTTCCTCATAGCTGAGCTCCTCCATGCCTCTTATCAGTTTGATTGCCCTTCTCTGCACTTTCTCCAGTTCACCAGTGTTCTTTTTGTAAATTGGTATCCAAAACTGAACTGCATTTTGCAGATGAGGTCCTACTAATGATTTGTACAGGGGTTAAATAACATCTCTCTCTGGAGTCTATACCTCTTTTAATACGAGAGGATTTTTCTTGCTTTAGAAACCACAAATTGGCATTGCATGCCATTAAGCTTATTATCTACCAAAACTGGATCCTTCTCCACCATTGAGTCCCCCAGTTGTACTCCCCCTAGTATGTATGATGCATGCATATTCTTGGCCCCCAAGTGCATAACATTTACATTTATCAACATTAAACCTCATTTGCAACATAGTTGTCCAATTAAACAGTGCATTGAGGTTGGCTTGTACATTGGAGACATACTGTAAGAGCGTTATTCCACTGCACAGCTTGGTGTCATCTGCAAAGACTGATATGGGATTTTTAATCCCTGACCCTATATTGTTTATAAATATATTAACAAGTAAGGGTCCCAACACTGAACCTTGGGGTACACCACTAACAACGCTACACCATTCAAAGTATGAATAATTAACCACTACTCTTTGAATACGATCTTTTATCCAGTTTTCTATCCATTTACATAATTAAACTAATTTTTCCAAGCCTGTAGACTTTACCTTACACATTAGCTGTTTGTGGGGAACTGTGTTAAACGCTTTTGCAAAATCCAAGTATATCTCCTCCTTAGCCTCCCCTCTGTGCAAGATTTTGCTCACCTGCCCATACAAAGCAATCAGATTTGTTTGACAACTTCTGTCGTTCATGAATCCATTCTGTCTGTTGCTTAAAATATTTTTTTTTTTTCCCAGCAAGAACTAATCTATGTTGTCTTTTATTAAACTCTCCAATATCTTCCCAACTATAGAAGTTAAACAGGCCTAGAATTGCTTGGTAAAGATTTCCATCCCTGCGGTGAGCAGCAGGATGGCCGCCAAGCAGTTTCCAGGACCAGCGTGACATCACGCTGCCTTCATTATTAAGTAAGAGTCATATGCAAGTCGGATGTTTGTAGCTCAGGGTCTGCCTGTATTCTTTATAGAATACAAAGCTCCTTGTGAATGACTGAGCAGCGCTCAGCCTGACTCTATTTTGTTCTAGGAGTGGGACGGGAAGTTCCCATTCCACTACTAGAACACAGCAATTGTATACTGTCTATAGCTGAGGCTACATAGAGTTTATGTAACACTTCCAGTCCCTGCATTTGTTAGTGAAGGTAATAGTTTGTTCGGACCAGCTTGGTGCAAATCAAGTATTTAAACGTCACTAAAAGCTGTAAATC